GCCGGGGGCGCAGGGTCCGGAGGCATAGAAGCTGCCCGAAGCCGGTAGCGCTGGCTCAGGCAGCTTAGCTCTTAAACAGAGCCGAAGTCTGAATCAGGGGAGGAGCAGAGCAGCCGCGGGAGAGGAAGTGCCTGGCCGGTATTTTTCCCGGACATGTTCAGCTTTTTGGCAATTCCTGCCGGACGGGGGTTTGATTGCCAATAAGCCGGACATGTCCGGGAAAAACCGGACGTATGGTAACCCTAAGCATAAGGCCTAGGATCAATCTCTTTGAAACCCCATTAAAAACAGCCCCATTCGGTGAGGATTTCCCATTGCTGGTGAGTTGCTGACATACATCAGTTGGTCAATTCTTAAGCCATTTAATGTGTGCTGTACTGATATTGTATACGGCTAGTTTTATCATTGGAATGTTGTGCGGTACCTCAGTCAAATGCCCTATAAAAGTCAAGTATGTTACATCTATGTAACATTGCTGAAAACTTCATGCTCCCCAACAAACGCCTTTCAACCACGCACCCCACTCTCTGTAACAGCTCTTCCTCATTGTAAGAGTGGAGACCAATTCCTGCCATGTGACAATCACAGGGGTATGATTTTTTTATAACCTTTACTCACAACAGGTAACTAGGAACAGGAAAAGATCAGTCTGTTACCGGCACTCCCCTGTGTCACACCTTTATTGCACTCAAGGGAAGCAGTATTTCCTGTAGATTAGAAATAAGAGACTGGCAGTCAAGATTCCCAGGTTATATTCTCAACTCTGACCACCCATTGTGTGACCTTAGTCAACTCACTTAACTTATCCATGCCTCAGTTTCTCCCATCTATTAAAAGGAGCGGATATCCACCTTTGAAATGTGCTATGAGATGTTTGATTACAAGGTGCTGCAGAAGTGTTATTAGTGGGAGGACAGGCAGAGGAAAAAAGGGAAGAAAGGTCAGTTTGGGGCTCTTTTCTTCTAAGAGCCCCAACCTACCCCACTTTTCAGAGCCCAGAAAACCTTCCCTTCATCTTGACATAGCATTCCCTATTGCCTCGATCTTGGCACAGTGTTTCCTACTGGTCCTGCCAAGCCCTAACAAGCTAGCCATTCTCAGCCTTGCTACAAGACTAGTCCTGAGCATTATTCTGCAGACTACTGTTAAGTTCAAACCCATTTTGTTTAGTAGTAGCATAGACAGGGCTTTCCCAGGAAGCTGGATTCATCCTGCATCAATTTGTAGTAGAAACTCTCTCTCAAAATCTAGAGCACCCTGCAGACAATAGTGGCTAGAGGTTAACTATTTGTTCAAGGCCATTTTTAGTAGATTTTGTTTGAATTTGCTTATTTAAAGGTACTGAGTTTTTCAGTTCCACAAGCTGTATCTAAAATACGAATTAAGGAAGTTCAGTTTTCTTGCAGCTACTGGCTTTTGAAACTATGATTTGTTTTCTTTGACTATCAGAACAATGTGGCTTTAGCTACTATCCTAAAATGTTCATTTTAGGAGATAAAAAGCTTGTAAAACAAGATCATTGTAACTAAACAACAATTTAAAAAAACAGGCCAGGTGTTTTGCATAGTTTTTCTTAGCATGAAGTATTATTGTTCCATGGGTCTGACTCTAAATTCAACACCTCTGATGAACATGGCTACCTGATAATGTCCTGTGCATAACATACCAGGAGAGGGTAGATTTTAATTATGTACGAAGTACTCATAAAAACACAGCACAGAACTCTGTGGAGTTTCTGGGGAGCTGAGGGCACACTGCACCCTGTAGGATAGGGCGCTAGGAGAAGAAGTGGTTTCTGGAGATTTTTACCATAAGGAGAGCTTGGTACAGAAGTATGTTTATGCTGGAAGAGCCTGACTGGATGAAGTGCTGTTGAAACAGGTGACTGGTCAGATTTGTGATAAATGACCACTGGCCTGGAAAACAAGCACAAACATTAAGTGGCTTGTTCAGTTGTGAGTAAAATATCCATCCACTTACACTCTAATCATGCTCTGCCCAAAGCCTCAGAGACAAGAGAACTTTTCCGAAGCTTCTCCCCCACCTTGAACCCCTCACCTGCAATGCTCCCTCATCCCATTCAATCTTTTGTTTTCACTCATTTCAATGTAAAAATTAAAGGCTGCATCCTGCAATCTTCAAGCAAAACTCTCACTGACTTTAATGGGACTAACCCTAAAAATCTGGACTACCCACATGAGTAAGAGACTGGACCCTAAGGAACTGCACTGAAAATGAAGAATAAATAAAGTGATTGATTTTCAAAGGTGCAGGGCACCCACAACTCCTGCTAGCATCAATTGGCACTATGAATGCTCAGCACATTTGAAAATTAGGGCACATAAGGATATGTTCTGTTTCTCTTGTCCAGGGGCTGCCTCAGCTCCCCTGCACCCTTCTCCTCCTCCTCCTCCAGGAGAATATTTTTTCAGATATGTTTCTTACAAAGAGTTGTTAATAATTTATAAAAGCAAAATATTTAAAGTACTTTTTAGGAAAAGGCAGAACTGACAATCTAGAGACAGACATAGTTAATAATCCAATGTCAAAATAGCGAACCTGAAGCAAGGTTCATTTGTATAATAATGAGAGAACAAATAATTGTTATTCTGGCATTTGTTTTGTGGTGATGGCGTGCATGCATTCTGGGAGAAAGTTCTGTATTGATGTAAACTGGCAAATCGCCATCGACAAAGCAGAGGATTTTGATTGCCTCAGCTAGACTAACAATAAAACAATGGTCTCCTACACTGGACTGCACTCCACATCATAAATACTGTAGACAATATCTGAATGACTTTGTCCTTGATCTTTGCAGATGAGACAAGACAAAATAGCTTACTTAGTGTGTTTTGCTGTTGATAAAGTATAGTGTAAGAGTTGCCATTGAAGGCTGCACTCACCCGCTCTTCCTCTTCTCGGAGATCTGGCATGGTGCTGATACAGAGACTCACTGCAGTGATGGCCACAAAGGAGACTGATATACAAGCAAAGATCTTTCCTGGGATCCCCGAGTGAGGGTTCTCCACCATATCCCTGAGCTTTCTCATGCACAAACCCAAACGGCTATTGTCCTGGAAGGCACATTGCGGAGTTTCATTAACCATCATCTCCCTCTCATACAGCGTGGCCTCGGCTGCCTCCTCCTCCTTCTGTCGTAATCTTTTCTTACAGCACCACTCCAGGTGTTCCTCTTCTATCCCCCAATACACCAGCTCCTCTTGGAAAGAGAGGGCACACATCTCCCTTAGAAGCCTCAGCTTCCCAGCTGTCAGGAAAGTCATGATGGTTCTGAAGGCACAAGGGTTACGGTCGAAAAAAAACTCATTGCAGCTGACATCATAATCATCACAGATGTCCATGATCTCATCATAGTTGTTACAAGATTTTAGTTTTCCAAGCCTGGTCAAAGGGCAGTTCTCTAGTGTGGTCCATGGAATCCTGTATTTAATGCCTCCTACATTGATGATCACATGCCTGGTTCGGTCCTCTAGATGGGCCAAGCAGCACAAGTCTTCCCCAGGGTGAAGAAGCTTGGCTTTTTTATAGAAGAACCCTTTCTTGGTCTGCACCTCGCACAGGTTTTCCAAATTGTTGTAGGAATACGAAGTGAACTTGGGATCTGCATTCCCAGTGAGCAATGCCATTTCCTGATACATTTGTTACGTTCATGGAGGTATCCGATCTACTCAGAGAAAGCGATTATAAAGTGGAGACAAGTGGCCAATCTGCAAAAGGAAATTAAAAAATGACAATTAGGGCTCCAGTAGAGAAAAACAATTCCACAACAATGTTTTCTCTAGAGTTTTTAAAATTTTGTTTGCATTTTAGGATGAGTCTTTTAGGACCCACTCCTCACAGCAATCGAATAGACAGCTGGGTCCATGCCTCTGGAGCCTACTATGCAGCTCCAAGTGATGACCAAAAGGGAGTATGAGTAATGCATCATCATTGTGACCTGCTCCTTTCTAGAGGAGGAGCAATGCCCCAGCCAGTCCATGAAGGGGCAGGGGGGGAAGAGTTTGTGTGGAAGCATGTTAAAATGGAAATCACCATTGACCTGGGAGTCTAACAGGTTATCAGATAAGGCTTCGTTGAAAGACGTTTTCTTTATTCTGACAAATCCAGGGGATGCATCTACTATGGAATTATCCAGTGGTGAGAGTGCAAACCTCTTTCACAATCAGTGCTCCTTTACTGATATGGTTCAAATACTTTTCAGTTAACATGGCTGTGACAGGGTCCTGGGTAAGGAGTGCTTAACCAGCCCTCCGCCACGCCAGCCCCAATTAAGGGAAGTAGATTGGAGCTGGCTGAATAGGCCTGTGCCTGCCTGGCAACTAGCAACAGCTGCCAGCTTAATTAGCTAGGGGCTATAAAAGGGCTGTGGGTGGGAGGAAAAAGAGAAAAAGAAAAAGAGAGAGAGAGAGAAAAACAGGCAGGCTAGTCGGCCAGCCAGGCGGCTCTGGTCTGCTGCTTGTAAAGCCTGGCTGAGAAACAAACCAGTTTATAGATAGTAAGGTGGTGATGGGAAATAGCTACACATAAAGTTCACTGGTGATTGCATCAACCTGAGGCGTCCCTGAGTGGTTTGTGAGGGCAGCAGGGGCAGAAGTAAGAGGGGCCCAGCTGCGCCTCACTACACTGGCTTACACAGTTCACATATGGTGTGCAGTTTGTGTAGCTATCATACTGTATGAAAACCATCTTTAAGAGGGTCATATTTTGATTCTTATAATTTGTGATAACCAAATCAGCAGTGCTCCAGAGTGTGGTGTATGGAAATTCAAGAACTGCAGTGATAGATGTGGTTACTGCACCTTTGAAAGGTGGAATGTTCTGACCTGTCAGAGTTCCAAAGGAGACTCGTTAGTCAGCAGCAGTCACAGCTGGAGATAGTTGGAGACTGAAATCTAAGAATGAAGTGGGGCTGGAAGTAGCTTGTAAACAGAGGACCCACTTGCTGTGCTAACTTGGGACCAGATGACATTGCATCGTTGCCCGATAGCTGTTACTCTGTGAGGAGTCCCACTGAAATTTGCTTAACAAAAATCAAGCTGGACTGGAGCACTGGGGACCATATGTTAGTTCTGGCTAGTGCAGCAACAAATTTCAATCAAGTAAATTGAGGAATCAGAGAAGCAAGTGACAACTGCTCTTCCTGACTGGCATTTTTGATCTAAACACCAGACATGAAAGTCTGTCTGTGGATGTCAAGGGGAGTTTTGCCACTGGCTTCAATAGGGCCAGGATTTCACCCCAATTCCCTAAGCAACCTACAAGAAGTGAGGACAAGTTTCTAACTTCTTGCCCTGAGGGGGAAGTCTCTGGTTGGAAAGCCTTTCTTTGTTATGGACCAGGGCAGAAGAGCTTAATCTGCTGCTGTTCTGAATGCATCAGGGGCATCATTTGCAGCTCCAGGCTTGAGTTTACACCTCACCTTCACCCCCTAAACAGAACCACTGTTTCTTGCACCACTGTCCTCAAATCTCTTAAGCTTATTTATTCAGCATCTGCTGCCTGTTATTCTGCTCTCAGTACCACTTGTCTTGAGAGCTCTGAGCCTCTCTGTTCTCCACCCATTTTCCTCCTGAAGCAGTGTTATAGGTCTCAGGTACTCTGGAATTATAGCAGGGGAACACTCAAAGCCTCCTGGGCTGTATAAAGGCCTTTGTAAGTAAGTAAGGAAAATAAACAAGCTTTGGAGCTTTGGGCCTCCAAACAGGAGATCTGGACTGGAAGTGGACTAGAGGTGGGGAGCAATTTTATTTGGAAGAAATGCCTCTATAACTAGGTAGACGAGCAGAGAAAAAGCTACGGAATGAGGGATAGTTTAACAGCACTTATAGCAGGATGGTGAGGTGGGAATTCAACAACTGCGGTGAAAGTAACGTGTTCCAATTCACTTTCCATCTCATCTGGTTTCCTATTCATGTGTGCTGGAAAAAGAACTGAATATGAGGGTTCTAATAGTTAGAGCATCAGACTGGGACTCAGGCGACCTGGGTTCTATTCCTAGCTCTGCTACTGGCCCGCTGGGTGATCTTGGGCAAATCACGTCACCTTTCTGCACCTCAGTTTCCCCATCTGTAAAATGGGATAATGGCACTGACCTTCATAAAGCGCTTTGACATCTAGTGATGAAAAGTGCGATATAAGAACTAGGTATTATTATATAGTCAAAGACAAAATCACAGTAGCTCTTCTTTCCTTTGGCCTCAATCAATCCTTAGATAGATTAAGCCAAAAGACGCTCCAGCAGCAAATGACAAATGCTTGTTAGTTGAAGGCATGCGTCACACCATTACTGTTCTCTTCATTTATGGTTAATTGAGTCATGCCTGCATCACTAATATGGGTCACATTCGCTATACATTACTGGGACTAGGGGAAAGAAGAATATGAGATGCCATGACATATTAACTCTAACAACAGAGGCATTGCCTACGTCCTAAATCAGAACTCTACAAGAGAAATTTGTCTGCCTCTGAAGTCTGATGTAGCCTTCATATAAACCTGTCATAGAAGCTTCTGTAGGCTCTGCAGCCAAAATTACAGAAATTGGATTTCCCTCTACATAGAATTCCAACAAGCACAGGGTGGGATTTTCCAAAGTTACATACCCAACTCCCATTGATTTTCAGTATTTAGTCCTCTGCAAAAATATGTGGACAAACTAAGTAGAGTTGATAAATGCTCTGTATGTCAGTTTCATCTTAGGTCAAATAAGACAGAGTAAATTGCTAGAACTACACAACAACCTGTACTTTCCTTTCTCTAAATTTCACAGAACTAAAGTATTTTCTAGTGAAAGTGATTAAATGTTTCTGTTTGTCAGATGCATCCCAATTTGCAAGACAAACTGTTCGCGGCCTGAACCCAAAGAATATTTTATTTTATTAAAAAATTCCTCAGAGGGAAAAGATTTATATGCCACTATCTTCACATCCTATCTTGCTGATTTTGGAGGATGTAGATTGTCCGACTGGTTTGTTGGATGCCCCATAGCATTCCTCTGCCTGGTGGTCTGTCTCAGCAGGAGCCACAGTAGGGTAACAAATTTTAACACAGCACAACTAACTGATATGTTAGTGGCACTAACATGGCACTACAGCTCCATCCTAGACAGGCTGCTATGGGAAACTTCTCTAGTCCAGAAGGAATTAAGACCCTACAAAGAGTAAAGTACGGCATCTCATAGCAACTTGCATCCTGTGAAACTGGTGCCTTATCTCATGGACTTTAATGCAGCTGGGATTGCAAATACCATTACTGTCATAGTAAGGGTGCGTTGTCAACACAGTCTATGCTTTAAGGATGCAGCCTCTTGTTGCTTTTGTCAGTAAGATAAAATATTCACTTCCACTATTCTGGGCATCATGCTTTTGTTTCATGCCTCACTTGTTATACAAGTCAACATCTGAAAAGTAATGTACATCATTTTGTGGCAAACAGCCAGGATTTGCTTTCTTCCATCCAGTCCATCAGCATGATGGTGCAGAAAAAGACCAAAACATTTCCAGGATTCTTTTGAAGCTAATGCTGTGTGTGTCCAATTTTCTAGGTGAATGAGAATTAAGCAGCAGCATGATGTGCATGTAGATTTTTGCATTCAGTTTACACGGGCCTTTTCATTTCCAGCTCTCTGAACTACAAAGGAGGATATATTTTATAACAATCCTGTTGATTAAATATCTAACTTAATGAATCAGACATTCAGGTTTTTATTAAATTGTCACTGGTGACTGGATAGGGGATTGGTAATACAATACGGAGCTTTTCTCCTCTAGGTCAGCAGCAGAATCTCAGGTAGTTTCTGAGGGCTTGTCTACACGTAAAAAACACTACAGCGGCACAGCTGTGCCGCTGCAGCGCTTTAGTGTAGACATGACCTACACTGATGAGAGGTATTCTCCCATCGGTGTAGGTGTGACACTCTGTATCTCGGGGAAACACCCTTGTACCCCCATGTTCATCCTTATAATACAATTGTGTGGTATCCAGTGCAAAGTTTATCATGTCAGGTGCCTTTGGAAGGCTCATGATGCACTGAGCATTGTTGTTAGTTACAGTAATGTTATAGGTTGTAATTTCATGTATATAGTTATCAGGGCCGGCTTCAGGGTTTTTGCCACCCCAAGTGGCGGAAAAAAAAAAAAAAAAAAAAAAAGCCTCAATCGCGATTGGTGGCAGCTCCACTGCGCCGCTTTCTTCTTCGGCGGCAGGGGCTTCCCTCCCAAAAGCCCGACATGCTGCCCCTTCCCCTAGGCCGCCCCAAGCACCTGCTTGCTGGGCTGGTGCCGGCCCTGATAGTTATGAGGCTGAAAACGTGTCCTCATGGCTTAAAACAAGCCCAAGCAAACCCCTCCAGGAGCCGAGGGGCAGTTCACACCTCATCAGGGCATGTATGGGACAAACCCAGCCCAGCCTCACAGGAAAAAAGGACATTGGCCTAGGCAACAACAAAGGATCTGTTGGACTCTCAAGTGAGTCACCTCCCTTCCCTTGGTCAGTTTGGGACTGCAATGAAGTAATGCTCACTTGACTCTAAAGAGGGGGAGGGCAAAGCCAAGGGGGAAGAAAGAACATGATAAAAGGGAGAGACGTTTGCCAGGCTCTTCCTCTCTCTCTTCCACCTCCATCTACAGACACCACCACCAAGCGACTGAAGCGCTGATCAAAGGGGAGAGTCTGGCTGAAGGACAACCCGCCAGTCTGTGGTGAGACG